AGTCACTGAAAATCCATTTGATGTAATACTTTTTGCACAATTGGTGACTTGATTTTATTCTATCATTTCTGCTACTAACATGATAATGAGAATATTTACTGTGTCATTTTATGTTTGAGAATATGAAATAATATTGTCAGAATATAATATGTGGATAAAATATCAATGGTAAATAAATATATGGACATGCCCTCTATGTTACCATCAGATATTTTTTAATATAACTTTTTTACTGCAACCACTGGCATGTGATTGTAGAGAATGTAATTTGGAGACCTTAATGTATGGGCAATCCTGTTTTAAAAGGAAGAAAACTGCTCAAAGCATGATCTAATAGTGCTACAATTCCATCAGACTTTTACAGGAATGAGACAGGAGTTTTTAGAGACTCTGGATGAAGTTACATGATGCGTGGATGCATCTAAAAACAACTGCAGGTCTGTTTTTAAGAGTAGAGCGAGGGAACATGTTTTTGGCTGTTGATAATCCAGTGTCAAACTAGAGTGCTGTTCTGAACAAAAGCGTGCTCTCTCTGCAGCTTTGCATCTCATTCAGACACTCACTGCTCCTGAGCCAATGACACACACTAGTTGTCTTTCTTTTGTCTGTGTGCCCCAGGGCACCTGTGGCTACAGTAGCAGTTTATCACCAGCATGTATCGAGTGAAAAAATGATGACAGGGATTTTTTGGGGCAGCGATTTTCAACCTAAAAAAATGTGATCTGTAGACCTGTAGATCAGGCCACTCCAGGACTTTGAAGGGCCTCTCACGAAGCCAATACTTCCGTCTTTGAAACCCTTGCAGATAGAAAGAGTTTTCACTCAAAATCTCACATTACATGGCCCCATTCATTCTTTTCTTTTCCCTATAACTCACCCTGGCCCTTTTGCAGAAAACCCCCCCAAAGCATTATGTTTCCACCTCCATGCTTCACAATAGCTTTGGTGTTCTTTGGATACAACTCAGCATTCTTTCTACCTCAAACACAATTCGTTGATTTTCTTACCAAATGTTCTATTTTGGTTTCATCTGACCATAGGACATTCTCCCAATCCTCCCAATCTGATTTGAGTCCCTGGTGGCGTAATGTGTTACTGATGGTGGACTTTGTAAGTTTTGTTCCAGCTCTCTGCAGGTCATTTAATCGGTCCAGCTGTTCAATCCTGGGATTTTTGCACCTCCTTGCACGGAGCCCCAGATTTCAGTTGATTTCTTCGTACCTAACTGCCTATTCAAGATTCAGTTTTTCCACCCTGGTGCAGGTCAACAACTGTTTCTGCTGCAGAGTCTAATCAATCAATCAATCAAATTTTATTTATAGAGCCCTTTACAACACTCAAGGTGACCAAAGTGCTTTACAATAAAATCACATAAAATGCATTAAAAACATTAATTCAAACAAAAATAAAAATAAAACAGTAAGATAAAAAAGTGTTGCCGTGCTACTGAATGTTAAAAGCCAGTCTGAATAAATGTGTCTTGAGCCTGGATTTAAAAAGGCCAAGATCAGTGATGGTGCGCATTTCAGGGGGCAGCTTATTCCAGAGTCTGGGTCCAGCGACTGAAAAGGACCGATCACCCCAACGCTTGGACCTGGTCCTAGGCACTTCCAGCAAGAGCTGATTTGACGACCTCAAGGACCTGCCCGAGTCACGAATAGTCAAAAGTTCAGACAGGTATGAAGGGGCAGGACCATTGAGGGCTTTAAAAACAAAAAGAAGAATTTTAAAATCAACTCTAAAAGAAACTGGAAGCCAATGTAAAGAAAAAAGGACTGGGGTGATGTGCTGACGTCTGGGAGTGTTTGTTAAAAAACGAGCTGCAGCATTTTGCACCAATTGAAGACGATTAAGACAGGATTGGGACACTCCACAATAAAGGGCATTACAATAGTCAATTCTTGAACTGATAAAAGCGTGGATGGTTTGCTCCAGGTCTGAGCGGTTTAAAAAAGGCTTTACTTTAGTTAAAAGGAAAAGGGATACACATTTTGTTCACGTTTGTTTTTCTAATGTAGATTCAGAGTAGCGAGTTGCTTCAATACAAAGTGCTGAATGGATTAAAAAGTACCAATTAGGTGTTTTGTGTTGTTTAATGACTCTTGAGGAATCCCAAGAACAAGATAACTATACCGTACAGACATGTATATGAATGAGCATGTTTTGTTCATAACATCTCGCCCCTGCCCTCCAACGAACCCCCCCAAGGACCTCAGCACCATTAGTGTAATTAAGCAGAGAAGCGAGTTGATTGGATTGAAGCAAGGGAAATGCATGGGATGTATAGGAGAGAAAGGTGGGTGCTTTTTTGCAGAGGCAGCAAGTGGGTGGGGGCCCAAGACGTTAATCCCTGAGCGACTTTCAGCTCATACAGTAAAGCGATGGCAGAGCACCCCACAAATTAATCCACCAAAGAGCCCGGGTTGGGACTGCATTTTACACCCCCTCATTTAACCTTGCCCGGTAGCCGTAGTTGGGGGAAGGAGGTGAGGGGAGATAAGCAGCTGCAGTTTTGTAGTGACATAGAATTGCAGAAGATGGGGGATGCAATGATAAGGCAGAAATGCATTGTGGGCTATTTAGAGAATACTGAAGAATAATGGCAGGGTCTAGCTCAGGTGATGTGCTTTTTGTCCACAAAGACTGGTGTAGTCAGTAGCTGTAGTGACTACTACTTTCTGGAACTGAAAGTTCCCCATTGTGGGACGAATAAAGGATCGTCTTCTTTGTCTTCTTTTTCTTCTCCAAACAAAACATCCATCCATCCATCCATTTTCTTCCGCTTCATCCGTTGCCGGGTCGCGGGGCAGCAGTCTAAGCAGAGACGCCCAGACTTCCCTATCCACACACACCTCCTCCAGCTCGTCCGGGGGGACTCCAAGGCGTTCCCAGGCCAGCTGAGAGACATAGTCCCTCCAGCGTGTCCTGGGTCTTCCCCGGGGCCTCCTCCCGGTGGGACGTGCCCGGAACACCTCCCCAGGGAGGCGTCCAGGAGGCATCCGGAACAGATGCCCGAGCCACCTCAACTGGTTCCTCTCGACGTGGAGTAGCAGCGGCTCTACTCCGAGCTCCTCCCGTGTGACTGAGCTCCTCACCCTATCTCCAAGGGAGCGCCCAGCCACTCTGCGGAGGAAGCTCATTTCGACCGCTTGTATCCGCGATCTTGTTCTTTCGGTCATTACCCAAAGCTCATGACCATAGGTGAGGGAGGGACCGAAGATTGACCGGTAAATTGAGAGCTTTGCCTTTCGGCTCAGCTCCCTCTTTACCACAACGGTCCGATACAGCGACCGCATCACTGCGCACGCTGCACCGATCCGCCTGTCAATCTCACGCTCCATCCTTCCCTCACTCGTGAACAAGACCCCGAGATACTTGAACTCCTCCACTTGAGGAAGGGCCTCTCCACCCACCCGGAGATGGCAGGGCACCTTTTTCCGGTCGAGCACCATGGCCTCGGATTTGGAGGTGCTGATTCTCATCCCAGCCGCTTCACACTCGGCTGCAAACCGTCCCAGTGCATGTTAAAGGTCCTGGTTTGTTGGAGCCAACAGGACAACATCGTCTGCAAACAGCAGAGATGAAATCCTGTGGTCCCCGAACCGGACCCCCTCCGACCCTTGGCTGCGCCTAGAAATTCTGTCCATGAATACAGTGAACAGAACCGGTGACAAAGGGCAGCCCTGGCGGAGGCCAACGTGCACAGGGAACAGGTCTGACTTACTGCCGGCAATGCGCACGCAGCTCTGGCTCCGGTCATACAGGGACCGGACGGCCCTCAGCAGAGGACCCCGGACCCCGTACTCACGGAGGACCCCCCAAAGGACACCCCGGGGAACACGGTCGAACGCCTTCTCCAAATCCACAACCCACTAAGCAAGCCGACGTTGAATCAACGTAATTTGAACGTCGTTGTCCGACGTAGAATATAGGTCACTGGTGGGTGCAGAATGAAAGTTTTCTCGACGTCGTTTCCCGACGTCACCTCAACCTCCAAATGTTACGTTGATGGCACGTCAATTCAAGGTTTGAATGTGGTACGGAACCGGTCGGGTCTGACGTCCTATCAACGTCTCATATGACCAAAATATTGACGTTTATATGACGTTCGTTTTCAGTCGTTCCCACTAAGCAAGCAGATGTCAAAACTATGTAGTTTCAACGTCATCTGGACGTTATCTGGACGTTCAAATGACGTCGCGGCCACTTCATTCAAGGTTGCAATGTGGTACAGAACCGGTCGGGTCCGACGTCCTCTCGACGTCTTATATGACCAAAATATTGACGTTTATATGACGTCCATTTACAGTCCTATTGACCTCTGCAGAATGACTTAATAGTCAAGACATACTTTTTGCAATAGGCAAGGCAAGTTTATTTGTATAGCACAGTCAAAACAAAAGGAAACTCAAAGCACTGAACAAAAGATAGAAACAATCAAACAAGGCATTACAATTATAAATATTGACAGTAAATTAAAAAGATACAAATAAAATCTCTCATAAAATATCTCAGTTGAAGCAGAAACAGAAGTGTTTTAAACCTGGATTTTAACATTGTCAAAGAAGAAGCCTGTCTCATATTTCCAGGAAGACCGTTCCAGATTTTAGCCTTGTGAATCTGAAATGCAACTTTATCATGTTTAGTTCTGACTCTGGGCAATAAACGATAAACACAGCATTCAAAAATCATTAGAACAACTGTAGTAGAAGGATATCAGTCGCTATTGCAAATGGAGCTGCATTAAAAATCATGTTTCTCTACATCAAAGTACAAGTGAAACCACACAGGGCACAGTGTTATGAACACTACTGTACTGAACAGTTCATGCCAAAGTAAAAAAACATGATTGTAGCGCCTATGTTTGGATCAGTATTAAAACAGGCACAAGCTACACTCTAGGTTCCCCAGATGTAAAAACACAATCTGAAAGGCAGAAGAATGCATTTATTGAATGTTGATGTTCCAACATGTGTCCTCTCTTGGTCTTCAGTCTCTCATCACAAGGTCCAAGCACAGCACCTGAAAATGTGGAACATGTTTAGTTTTAACGTAATGTGGCAAAGTGATATAACAGCACATAACTTTCTATTAATGCCTCAAACCACTCGATCCATCACCATGTGATACAGACCTTGGCACTGCACTCGCTCGAGACACTGGAAGACACTCCGTCTGAGAAACTTGGGATAAGGCTTTGGTCATTGGAGTAATTCCATGTAAAAAACAATTGCAAATGTGCATTTGTTTTGCACTTGGACACAAATGAGCCCTGAAAGCTACTTACCCTGTATTACTCTACACATGTTGCATTTCCGAGGGGGCATTTTCCCCTTGTTGCTCTTTTCCCTCATCTTGAGTGAGTTGCTGAACAATCTGAGAAAAAGATAGATGTTTTCAAAGAGAATACACCAAATAATGGTTTATTCTAAAAACAACATATTAATACAGAAGAACAATCAATGTGTGAGAGTGTGATTCTTACCTTTGAACACCTTCAACACAGTCTGACACCTGTAAGACTGAAACACACATGACACATTAGGAATACACACAGAACATTAGTTATTGTAACAATCATGAAATTATACTCTATGAATTTCACAATAATTGACTGCATTAGCAAAGGTAAATGTATTTTAATTAACATATGGCTGGTTTTAAAGTTTATAAGAAAAAGTAAGAAATTGAATAGAGTTGCAAGCGCTAGTTAGCTTGCTACCAGCAGATGAATGGATATTTAATATTTGCAGCTAACAATAACAAAAATAACAACTGTAGTGGCTCATTTAAACAGCCACAGTGAGAAGAAGTGAAAGTCTCTGACATTGAAGACCTGGGAAGACATTAAATCCATTTATTAAAAAAAGCAATACATGAACATTAAACTCTCTTTCTGCAGCAGGTAACATCTGTGTGCTCCTATGGTCCCACATGGTCCCACACCTGAACTCAACTCCAACTGATGACATCACAGGTGTCTAAATGATGGGAGTGTCCCAAATATTAAAGCTGATCTCCCTGTTTTTAAACTTAGTTTACTAAGTACTGTTGTCTTTTTGCAGTTTATAAACCATTGTGAAATATACAGTAACTTTACATTTTAGAATTGAATTATTATTTTAAAACTCAAGAATCTTAACCTTTTTAAACACATAGTTTGTTGGACAGTCTAACCTAAGAATTCTAATGTGTTAAAAATAGTTTGAAATATGAAAAACAATATCATATTTTAAACTTTAACTTAAAAACTAAAAAAAGATGTCTCCCTTTCAGCTGAGCAGTGCCAGCCGTTATTATTATAGATTCATGCACTGGCAATTCAAAATACAGATAATATACAAAATATACTTAACAAAATCCACGTATACGTGAGAAAACAACTTACTTTCTGTCTCCAACTCTTTTCAATGTGGAAATGATACATCTATATCTAAAACTGTGCAGACTGTGTACTTACTAGAGAGGGTGATTCGAAGTAAATAAAGCAGGGCAGCGACAGAGGTACAGATTCAACGTCATATCAACGTCTGGGAAGGCATTGCTTTACGTCCAGATGCACACCTTACGTCGTTTAGACGTGGAAAACAGGTCCTCGACCGACCGACTCACGTGTCAGGCTGTAACCTCGCATAAGTGTGCGTCGGTTGTTTAGGGTGTTATCTATTATTTTTTCACAGTAGTCAGAAAAAATGCCTGGCCGTGGTGTAGCGGTTGAGTAATGAGACTTCGGTCGCAATGACGCGGGTTCAAATCCCTGTCGGAAAACTTTTGACTTTTCACTTTTTAGCGAACAATTTTTCTGTTTGGTTAAAAACGAATAAACACTCAACATAAGATTATGTAGTGGCTAATAATAAAACTTGTGAACCCATGCATTTGCATAAAATCTCAAGTGCTCACCCCTTATTTGCAAACTTGAGATTGTTAGCACAACAAATGCATACATTCACAAGTTTTATTATTAGCCACTACGTAATCCTATGTTGAGTGTTTATTAGTCTTTAACCAAACAGAAAAAAATAGTTCTTTAAAAATCAAAACAAATATGTAAAGATAATAATACACACTCGTGGGCTCGAACCCACATAACCAAGGCTGCACACATCTGCTTAACCACTACACTACCGTCAGGTTCACTTACATTGCTTCACAGCCTATATATTGTATTGCTAGATCAAGACGTACTGCGTCGGTCGGCCGATGACCTGTTTTCGACGTCTAGGAGAGGTCGGGATTGAACGTCATATCCACGTATATGGGAGGTCATTGTTTTACGTCCAGATGCGCACCTTGCACAGACGTCGTTTGGACGTAAATAAAAGGTCACGACCGACCGACGCAATATTGACGTGATCTGGAGGTTGAGTGGACGTCGGATGTTTAGTGGGGGAATTGGTAAAATCCGTCCATTACAAACTTATCTTAAGTGAGTAATCTATACTTTTTGACATCTATAAAAAAACACGATATATTTATGTTTAAGGCAAAAGTAGTGGAAGTAAATGAAACGACATGAAGTTGCGGTGTTGTGTTGGTGTCACGTGGGAAAAATGCTCCCCGAGTGAAACAAGCTCCACAGTTATTACCGCTCGTACAGTTCCACTTGGTTTTATGTAGGCTCGTAGATCTGACTGTTATATGACTACCACCATGACTAGGGTAATCGAGCACCAGAGCAGACGAGACCAGAGAAAGACCAGAGTGACCAGAGAACGACTAGCTGAGAGAGACCGGAGAGCGAGACCCGAGAGAAGCGACCAGAGTGCCTGAGTGACCAGAGAGAGACCGGAGAGAGAGACCAGAGAGGAGACCAGAGAGAGACCCGAGAGAGACCAGGGAGAAGACCAGGGAGAGACCCAGGGTGAGACCAGGGAGAGACCAGAGAGAGACCAGAGAGAGAGACCAGAGAGATAAGACCAGAGAGAGACCAGAGAGAAAGACCGAGAGAGACCAGAGAGAGGACCAGAGAGATACCAGAGATGAGGACCAGACGACGAGACCAGAGAGAGACCAGAGGGAGACCAGAAAAAGAGACCAGAGAGAGACCAGAGAGAGAGACCAGAGAGATGAGACAGAGAGAGGACCAGAGAGAAGACCAGAGTGACCAGAGAGACCAGTGAGAGAGGACCGGAGAGAAGAGACCAGAGTGAGACCAGAGTGACCAGAGAAGACCAGAGAGAGACCGGAGAGAGAGACCAGAGAGAGGACCAGAGAGAGGACCAGAGGGGACCAGAGAGAGACCTAGAGAGACCATAAAGAGACCAGAGAGAGACCAGAGAGAGACCAGAGAGAGACAGAGAGGACCAGAGACGAGGACCAGAGGGGGAGACCAGAAAAAGAGGACCAGAGAGAGACCAGAGAGACCAGCGAGAGACCAGAGAGAGAGACCAGAGAGAAGAGGGACCAGAGAGAGAGACCTGAGGAGAGAGACCAGAGAGAGACAGAGAGAGACCAGAGAGGAGAGACCAGCGACGAGAGACCAGGAGAGAGTCCAGAGAGGCAGAGCTTTGGCCTTGTTTACTTTCCGATTGCCTATGGTGTCTCCGCACCCACTCTACCTCTCTGACATCTGCTGGCGGTGTCCAACCAGAAAGGTAACCTTTGTGAGTAGCAAGAAAAAAAAAATCCTAAAGTATTAGGGTCTTAAAAAGGTTCAAAATGATTATTTCGCAAGCTGCAGAAGACAGTGGGAGTGATGGTGAAATTCTTGAGGTGGGCTCAAACCCACAACCTTCTGGCTCAAAGGCCAATGCTTACCATCTGAGCTATGTCGCCTATAATTAATGATAGTAATACATATAAAATGTGTGTTTGTGTAGGAAATGTTTTGTACTATGAATAATAACACTGTGATCGTGCCGGGGGCCTCACCTTTAGATAGGATCCGAGTATTTGGTGACGAACGGGCTGTCGCACTGGCTGCAGCACACGTGATCTCCTGCTGGATGTCTTCGATGCGTCCTCCGCCTCCTCCAGGTCGATATCTTGTGGGGGGCCACCTCTTCCTTGGTGCGGTTGTTGATGCCTTTGTAGACCTCTCCGAACGAGCCTTTGCCGATGCGCTCCTGTTTGGTGACAGTTCTCCTCCGGGTCCAGACGCGAGTTCTAACACAAACAAGATTTATTTTGTTGCAATTATTTCTACGTAGTAATTAATTTTCATTGATATAGAGCATTTCCACAGACCAGAGTCACAAAAGCAGTATACAAGGTTGTGGGCATTTGTCTCTCAGTCCACACCAGAGATGGAGGGTGGCCAGTACAGGGGCACATGCCAGACCTATTGTACATGTTTTTAGTGGTAGGGGGCAAACCGGAGTACCCGGAGGAAAACTACGCAGACAGCCGGGGAGAACATGCAAACGCCATCAGAAAGGCCCTGTTCCAAACGGGTTCGAACCCCAGGACCTTCGGGCTGAGTAGCGTGAGAGTGTATTCACTCTGTCTGTGTCATTAGAGGTGTTGTGTTTTACCCGCATTTTACTAATTATTAGGCCATTCTCTATCTATGTATCAATTCTTTGCCACACTGATGCCTCTGCCTCCAGGGGACTTACGGATGAAAATATCTTGTTGCTATGGGTTCCGGGTCTGAACAATACATTTATTGTGCAATGTCCTGTCAAATAAACAAAATAATAAAAAAATAAAAATAACATCGTGGCAGTGCATGGTCTTACTGTGCTAATAATGTATATATAATGTGTATAATGTTAATATTCTGTGACGCCAATCTGGGACATACAGTGGGGAAGGTTGGCAAGTCTTTTTTGGATTCCATGCAAGTTTAACACAGGGAAGGATTTGGCAAAATAATAAAGGGTCAAAAACTCACTTCTGATCTTTCAAAATCTTCTAAAGTCCAGTTTATTTTCCGTTAACATTCACTCCTTGATGAAAGGCAATGTATTTTTGTCCATTTTTGGATTTTCAAAGAGTCAATATATCTACTTCAAGCATGTTTGGAGCTGTAAATATATCTCTTTGGAGGCACTTTTACCATTAAACCGCATCTCAACCAATTTGATAGAGGCCTTATAATAAAAAAAACATAAACATAACACCAAAATTATTTGTGTTATTAGATTCATATTCAAGAATATTTATTTGCCATTTGCAGTAAAAACACATTGGGATAAACTGTGCAAGTCTACCGGTGTGCACCAGACAGAGACGTAGTATTCACCAGAGCTATCACATCAGAGAAAATACAAAAAAATTACAGTGCTTAAACTGTGTCCAAAATAAACTGGACTTTAGTCAGCAGTGAGTTTTGCCCTTTTTCTTTTGTCCCTCGCTTCCCTATGGTATTAACTTGCATGGATCCAAAAAAAAACTTGCCAACATTTGCCACCGTTAGTCCCAGATGTTTGAGTAATTTTATTATCACAGTAGGAACCTCGTGACTGTCATTGCTGAAGACTTATTAGATATTTAGATAATCTTACAATAAAATAGACAATACTGAGAAAAAGCCGGCATTAATTGGGCAGTGCAGCAGCCAGTGATATTACCGGTGTAATAACTAAACATGGATATTAGATCATTTCCTTATTGCTTGATGACACAATATTTTGCTGCAGAAGTTTGATAATATCTTGTATACAGCTCAACCTTTCATACATGAGTATAGTCATGAGTATATAGTTCGAGTATAGATTTATCCAGAATTATTATTTTGTATGGATTTCATGTGTTTTTGCAGTAGGACGCCTGCATTTCTTGGGATCTATTTCTATGAGTTATTATACAGTCTCTATCTTATCTACGTATTATCTATCTATGTATCTATCTTTTTATCTATCTATGGTATCGTCTATCTATGTATCTGTCTGTCTGTCTGTCTGTTATGTATATGTTGTCTGTCTGTCTATGTGTCTGTCTGTCTGTCTGTCTGGTCTATTGTGTCATGTCGGTCTGTCTATCTATGTGTCTCTCTGTCTGTCTGGTTATCTACGTGTCTGTCTGTCTGTCTGTCTATCTATGTGGTCTGTCTGGCTATTATCTATGTACCAGTCTGTCTGTCTGTTCTTTCTTGTGTCTGTCTGTCTGGCTGTCTGTCTAATCTATGTATCAGTCTGTCTGTCTGTCTGTCTATCTACGTGTCTGGTCTGTCTGTCTGTCTATCTACGTGTCTGTCTGTCTCATCTCTGTGTCTGTCGTTCTTATCTTGATCTATGTACCAGTCTGTCTGTTGTCTATATATGTGTCTGTCTGTCTGTATATCTAATGTATCAGTTGTCTGTTGTCCTATCTATGTATCAGTATGTCAGTCTGTCTATCTATCTCTTGTGTCTGTCTGTCTATCTATGTGTCTGTCTGTCTGTCTATCTATCGTATCTGTCTGTCTGTCTATGTGTCTGTCTGTATGTCTATCTATGTATCTGTCCTGTTGTATATCTTGTGTATGTCTGTCTGTATATCATGTATCAGTCTGTCTGTCTGTCTATCTATGTGTCTGTCTGTCTGTCTATCGATGTATCAGTCTGTCTTTCTGTCTATCTAAGTGTCTGAGCTGTCTTATTCTACGTGTCTGTCTGGGTCTCTCTATGTGTCTGTCTGTCTGTCTATCTATGTGTCTGTTCTGTTGTCTATCTATGGTCTGTTTGTCTCCCCCAGTCTATCTATGTGTCTGTCTCGTCTGTTCTTTCTATGTATCAGTCTGTCTGTCTGTCTATCTAAGTGTCCTGTCTGTCTATCCTATGTTCTGTCGGTCTGTCTATCTATGTATCAGTCTGTCTGTTCTGTCTATCTACGTGTCTGTCTGTCTGTTCTTTTATGTATCGGTCTATCTATGTTATCAGTCTGTCTGTTCTGTCTGTCTCTGTCTATCTCTTATCTGTATATTGTGTGTAACCCTAGTTAGAGCAGTCGAGTTGTGTCATAGCACATGTTGTTGAATTGTTCTACTGTAATATGTATGAGGTGTCTTTTAAATATAGATCACCTGCGAATAAAATAAACATAGTGTGTGGAGGCAAGTAAATACATTGTATACTTGTTCATTTTCTTTTTTTTCCCCCCCTTTTTCCCCCCCCCCCCCTTGCCAAGAGGCCACCTAAAACTATAAATATGCAGAATTATCTTTTGTAAAGGGGAACAAATGTACTACATTTTACTCAGCGCTCTGGTGATTTCTCCACATCGCTCTTCACAATTTGCACACAGGTTAGTGCATTTCTCAGAACAATTTAGTACAAACTGCAAAACCTGCAAAAGTCGCATTCACTATTCTCAAAGTGAAAAGTGAATTCCTCCAAAGCAAGTCTTCATGGTCAAATGAAACTGTCTGTGTCTCAGATAATGCGTCCTGGACAAACAGTGAGTATAAACAACAGTCAATAACTTAATCAGTTTTCATTGTGACACTTTACTCTCACTGTGTTTTCAATGTAAAAAAGTCAGACTCTGTGGACACTGTAAGCCAAAACTACAGTTAAAAGTTTCACATGGATGTATTTAGAGATGGTAACAGAACATGTATGTCCTGTATGTATGTATGTATGTATATGTACTGTATGCATTTAAGTCCAAATGCTACAGATTCTAAAACCTGTAAAATCACATCAAACCGGAGACAAGAGAAGCGTAGGGAAAACCCACCACACACTCACTATGCTCATTATCTGGGCCTCAATTTCCCAATTTTGACATTTCATAAATTATTTTAAATATTGGATTATTATTGAAAAAAAATCCAAAAGCTGACCCAGAATTGTAGTTTAAAATAAATGCATCATGACAAGTGGTGGAATGCATGTTGATGGAGAGCAGACAAGACAGTAGTTGGGGACCCCACATTGAAAGGGTCCAGGCATTTCAGGGCCCTGGTGAATTTATGTTTGGGGGCCTTTGAGACCCTTACATAGCAACTGATTGATAACATTGTAATAGCCTATTCCAATTTCCATGATTTATGACCAAATGTTTTAAACTACAGGCTCATTCAGGTATGGCAAAGTCAATACTCAATTTATTAGCCGTTACAAAAAGAGTTATGCCACGCTAACCCACTGTAGGAACTTCTTATACTGTCCATTTCCTGGATGTTTTATGGTTAACATAAAACATCCAGGAATGGCACAGAAAAGGGGGTTGTCAAATACAAGCAAATATGTGTTATGGGGAACGCAGTTATCTCAGTTTAGTAAAAGGCAGATACTTAATCAAATCAAGTTAGGTTTTACTATGGACCAAATTTGAAGCCAATATCCCCAAATTTGGCGCTCCCTCATGGATTACCACCTACATCAAACAGGGAGGGAAGCCTTTTTAACCCTGTACTGCACAAATACCTTTGTTTTGTGTACTATGAAATTGTGTCATTGGTTAAAAATAAAATGATTCAAACTAACTAAGGAAATGTTCCATGATTTAAACTTTAGTGTAGTGTGTATTTTGAGGCAATAATAATGTGTGAATAAAAATATAAAGGATTGTATTGGCGTAACAGTGAGTAAGTACAGTGAGCTAGAGGGATTTTTCTGCCCTTGAGTCTCCACATGTGGGTCCCCCACCCATCATGCAGCCGTGTCTCAGTCATGCACAGGAGGGTGACAGGCTGGTTCGGAGGCTCCATACCTGGTTTCTGGAGGCTCTGTAGGTGTGCCATTTCTCCGGAGGGGGCTGCTCGCTGTTCGGCGCTGACCGGTGCCAGACGCCCTCCCTGGCTCTGTTTTGCCCTGCGTGAGCGGTGTGGTTAAAGGCGGTAGTCCCAGATTCAACACCCAGTCTGTGCTGATGCTGCTGCGGGTGGCGGATGGGTGTCAGTCCGGCGGAGAAGCCCCTCACACCGCGGCTTTGAAGCCTAGCGAGGCCTTGGAGCTCAGGAGGCACGAGGCCGGCCGAGACGCACTGCCTCCGCGGTGGTTAATGTTTAAATTCCATTTACAGAGCGCGGAGGCCTGTTGTTCATCTGAAGTTCGGGACAAAATTATTGGCCAAGCTGGTCTGCGCATGCGCGATGTTCACCACGGGCGAGAGCATTCTGGGAGTTGTAGTCATCTCTTTGTTTTGTAGGGGGTATGGATTTAGAGAAAGACACAGATAAGATAGTTGGCTTTATAGATAGATCTTACAAATCAACCTTTATAATTCATTGTTTGTTGGGATACGAATTCAGATAAATATTTCTATTTGAGGACAAACTAAAAATTATTTATACCAAATTAGGCATGTGCATAAATGTAGGCAAAGAAAAATGAATTCATATTGTGTACATATTCCTTTTGCAGAAAACTGTCTAATGATATAATTTTCAAAATGTTTTTTTCAATTGTAATTTCAATTTATGGTCTGGCCTATTACAGAACACCATTTTAATATTTTTATTGCCCCACACTGCCTTGGAAGCTGACCGTCTGAAGGAGCAGCGGCTCTAATCAAAGTCCTTCCATGGCCCTCAGCATGGCATAATTCTTCATGTGACTAACTGAGGAAAACTTATTAACAGAACTGAACTGTTGAAGCTGATGATTCTAGTGTGCCCTTATCTTAGGATGAATTGGTTGACTGTGCCTGAATGGTTGATGGTGGTCGAAGGGAGAGATGGTACACAATTTGTAGCCTCACCTCTGTCCGGGTGCCCCAGGGAACTGTGGCTACATTAGTAGTTTATCACCAATCACCGCTGTGTATGGAGTAGACAATATGACTCCTTATGTGCATCTTACACAAAAGCACTCACCCAACCCCATCATCAAAAAAACTACAACAACCTACAACACCAACAACAACCCCTCCTAACCACACACTACACACCCACCATCCCCCCAAAACACCAAACCCAACTTTAACACCACCAACTCCATAACCACCCAACCTAACACCAACTAAATTCACCCACACCACTCTTTACACACCCAATACCCAACCCCACACATAATAAAAAATCCTCAACACTCACCTCCCCCCTTACATCCCATCTCCCCACTAAAATCACTAAGTTCCTCACCCTACCTCCCACCACACTAATCACCCCACTAAACCTCCCCTCCCATCTCATCCCAACCCCTTACCCCAACCACCCCTATCACCCCCCCTCCCCTCTTACTTAACCTTCCCACCCTCCAACTCCTAATCAATTCCAAACATATTCATCATTCATCATCATTCCCCCTCCTAACAAAACTCCATCCCTTCACCCCACCCTCGCCCACCTCCCCACCCCCCTCCCCCCCTCCCCCCCACCCTCTCCTCCAACACACACAACCACCCCCACCCCCCCCACCCCACCCCCCCCGCCCCCCCCGTCTGCACCCCCCTCCCCCCCCCCTCCACACCCCCACCCCCCCCCTCCCCCCCCCTACCCCCCCCCCCCTACCCCATCCCCTCCCCCCCCCAACTAGTACTGAACAACTATGGCCCCACCCTCCCCCCCTCCCCCCCCCCCCACCACGTCCACCTCCCGCCCGCCCCCCCCCCCACCACCCCCCCCCCCACACAGCCCCCCCCTAGCCGTGGCCCTCCCGCCCAGCACCCCTCCCCCCCCACCCCTATCCCCTCCGCTCATCTCCCAATCCCGACAATCTCCCCCCCCCCCCGCTCTCTCCACCGCGACCCTCCCCCCCCCGCTCCCCTCACACTTCGCCCCACACCGCCACCATTCCCCACTTCCCGCCGTCCCTCCCCTGACTCTCTCCGCCCACCCTCACCCCCCCCCCTCCGTCACATCAACATCCTCTCTCGCCCCCCCCCCCCCCCCCCCGACCCCTGCCCTACCCACCCCCCGGCCGCCCCTCCCTCCCCCACCCTCGCCTCCCTCCGCCCCTCCGCCCACTCCCTCGCGTAACCCCCTCCCCCCCCTCCCCCCCCACCCCCCACCACCCCCTCTCTCAACCCCCCCTCCCCCTCCCCCCCTCCCCCCCCCCCCCCCTCCCCCCGCCCCACCCCCCCCCCTCCCCCTCAATCCCCACCTACCTCCCACCCCTCCGACCTCTCGCCTCCCCCTCCCTCCCCCCCCCCCCCCCCCCGCTCTCCCTCCCCTCGCGCCTCACCACCCTCTCTCTCACTCCCCTCCCCTCCCGCTACTCTCCTCCCCCGCCCCCCCCTCCCGCACCACGCCGACACCCCGAACCCCCACCATACCCCCAGCCCCCCACGCCCCTCCAACCTACTGCTCGCCCCGCCCTGCCCCCATTAGCACACCCTCCGCCCGCAGCCCCCCACCAACTCCCCACACCCCTCCCCACCCCCCCCGTCCCACCTCCCCCCCCCCCCCCCCACCCCCTCCCCCCTCGGCCTCCCGCCCCCCCTCCCGTGAAGTATTTTTGCTCTTTGGCTTCATCACGGAAAGATCAATGTCTATGGCTCTACTGTCTAATGTTTCTGCATTGTCTTGTCATATTATTTTGTATTCCCTAATGAGTATGGACACACAGGGAATCCTCATATAGATCCTTGTCATCCTCAGTCCACCACTTGACCGGTTTTTGATGCAAGCATGCTGTTTCTGATTTGAATGTTGTAAGCCTGAGAACTGTATTAGTCGAAGACGTGCTCTATACAGTTGAAGTAAGGAAAAAGTCTCCACCCGTTTAATGTACAAAGATGTGATAATGCCATTTTACATGCATTTGATAGAGAGGAATGTTTGACAGATACATTTGTTTTTTTCTTATTTGTTGTGAAGAATGGTGGAGTCTTGTCCAAATGGCAAAATATACAGTCTACAAACCATGTCAAAAAAACAAGTGGAATAGGTGGCCTTTACTCACTTTGATTTTTTTGTTAAATAATGGACATGTAGAGTAGATATCTAGCTATTATCTATAAAACATATCCGTCTCTCTGAGCTTAATGTCACTGTCAATAGAGATTAAAGTATTTAAAAAATTATGATTGACGTTGTAACAGGACCTCACGGAAGAAGCCACAATTTGGTGACACATTAGATTTGAGTTTGAAAGAACATACGCTACTATTATTTTTGTGTGAAGTATTAAGGAGCGTTTATATAAAAATTGGCCAAAAAGTGGGTCTGCACTCTCCCTGGACGTGGTTGCCCAGTTATGCAAGACGAATCCCGTGGGACCATATTATCTGAATAAAGAGTTTGTCAACACCAAATCTATAACTACAACTTTTTCACAAATAGACAAAATCCTGGTTTTATTCCTTGTTTTGTCGTTAATGATTTGAGAATCATAATGAGACCTTTTTTTGTTCTGGCACTATGGAAGATTAGCTGATGTGGTGAGTTTGGCGCTGGATCAGAGCCTTTTCTGATTAGTTAAAAACGGTGGAGGCGGGTCATCAAAATGAAAACAATAACAAGATTTAAGGGCTGTAAAATAATCTTTTAAATTCAAATGTCTCTGAACTACTGTATCAATTAAGAAGTATTTGCAAAGAGCCTGTTTTATTAAAGCCTTTTGCCAGATTGGGGCCCTTTAATGAAGCCTTGACCTGAATATCTTAACATAAGGTACTTAAAATGGTTCTGGTTTTAAAAATATTCTAATTGTCTCTTTCATACTGTGTCAGACGGGATGAGTGGTCAGCCCTTTGCCTCCCTCTGCGGATGTTGCGGCCCCCCCCCCCCCCACCCCCCCCCCCCTTCCCTCCCCCCCCCCCCCCCCCTCCCCCGCCCCCTACCCCCCCCACTTATCCCTCTCTCCTCTGCCCGCCAGATCCCACCCCACCCCCCCCCCCCCCCCCACCCCCCTGGCCTCAGCCAAAGGATGAGGGATCCGGACTCGCTCAAAATGGGCCCCGACAGCCAGACGGGGCCCCTGCCGATGCTGCAGCCACTGCCCAGACACCATTATCAGTTCAGAGAGGATCATCGTGGAGGTCAGGCTCACTCTGACACTCCAGTAAATGTAAAACACAGGCTGAAATTTTTTGATGAGGAGCGGTGATGTTGAGACCGATCACCAAAATAGTACAATCTCCTGCCGAATTATTTTGACTTTGTGCGCAAACTTTTAAGGTCGTTCGCTGTTAGCATTAGCGTTCGCTATTAGCATTAGCGTTAGCTGTTACCATTAGCGTTCGCTGTTAGCATTAGCCGTTTGCTGTTAGCATTAGCGTTAGCTGTTACCATTAGCGTTTGCTGTTAGCATTAGCGTTAGCTGTTACCATTAGCGTTCGCTGTTAGCATTAGCGTTTGCTGTTAGCATTAGCGTTAGCTGTTACCATTAGCGTTCGCTGTTAGCATTAGCGTTCGCTATTAGCATTAGCGTTAGCTGTTACCATTAGCGTTAGCTGTTACCATTAGCGTTTGCTGTTAGCATTAGCGTTAGCTGTTACCATTAGCGTTCGCTGTTAGCATTAGCGTTTGCTGTTAGCATTAGCGTTAGCTGTTACCATTAGCGTTTGCTGTTAGCATTAGCGTTAGCTGTTACCATTAGCGTTCGCTGTTAGCATTAGCGTTTGCTGTTAGCATTAGCGTTAGCTGTTACCATTAGCGTTCGCTGTTAGCATTAGCGTTCGCTATTAGCATTAGCGTTAGCTGTTACCATTAGCGTTAGCTGTTACCATTAGCGTTTGCTGTTAGCATTAGCGTTAGCTGTTACCATTAGCGTTCGCTGTTAGCATTAGCGTTCGCTGTTAGCATTAGCGTTAGCTGTTAGCATTAGCTGTCTGTAGTTGGTTGTGAACATGATGTGGCTGCTAAGAACACTTCTGATCTGTATGAATCGTTTATTTTTGCCAAGAAACATAGTTGCTTGCACTATATATATGTAGGTCTGCATTTCATTCTTCAATGACTAAGTTTTGCAACTTGCACTCTGTATATTAGTTTTATTGTTATAAAAACAATATCTCTTTACCTCAAATCTAACTTCCGTGACCACTACATACATTTTTATTATTATGTATTGAGAATAAGTAAGAAAAGTCTTGCTGACTACTACCAAATAAATTATGAGCATGATATAATATAAACATTGTAATAATTTACATATCTTCATTGCATTCTTTTCTCTGTATCTTTTCCAGTATGGCCTAAATCAATTGGAATGAGGTCTTCAATGTACAAGAGTTCAACAGCCTCCATAATGCAAGGTAAATAACTATAAAAAAAAAAATGCCATAACGACTAGATACCTTTAACACAATATATAAGTAAAAGAATACCATTAGTTTTGCGTCCGGATGTATTAATTTAAACATTAGAATATATTCTAATATTTAATTATAATTTATTATACAGCTCCTCACAGCAGCAGCACTCCATTGACTTGAATGCAATTCTTCCGATCATTTTTTCTTGATAACAGAACTCTCAAACCAATAATGACCGCAGCCCCAATGCAATCTCTGTTTGTAATTCAGGTGTGTAAAATACTGCCATTACTCTGCAAGTACAACAAGCTATCAGCGCCTGTCACTACATTGTGCAGTTTTTCTGCACACTTGTCTGTGTAGAGAAGCTAGCCACGCTCAATAAACAAATACATATCAATCAATCAACACCATTAAACGTCAATCGGACAATACAGTATACAGATACATCCTTAACACACATGCACAGACGATTTCAGAATTTGCTGTCAACGTTTTCATGACAAAAATACTGTTTTAAAGTGACAAAAAGCGATCGCGAAAAACCCGGAAGTTACCATGAAACAGCTAGCTAGCTTAGCTGTTACCTGCCCAGCACGTCCCGGTGAAACCTTTGGGAGCTAACTATTTTATTTGCAGTCATTAAATACATAGAGGCTAGAGGACACAGGCTGGTCGCTGCTCGTTCTGTGAGTGGAGGAGAATGAGCGGCCCGCTCAGACTCTACTCAGCTCTTTTCACTGCCTGAATTTCATACACAGTGGAATCAATGACCTCAAGTTTTCAATTAAATTATGTATTATGATACAACTTGTATGTAGTAAAAGGCATTTTTATGAACTACTTAGAAAAAAAATCGGGTATAGCTTCTTTAAGAAGTCTAGTGATCCTTATTTAGCTTTAATGGCTTATCGTGCTTCACCTCTAGCTAACGGGTATAGTCCTACTGAACTGCTCATGGGACGAAAGATACATACAACTGTTCCTGTCATTCCTTCTCAGCTTGATCCAAATGGTGCTGACTTAAAGCTGCACTAACTGACTTTATTTTCGTATTCATTACAAAAATGCTATCCATATCCATGTAGTGCATTGGGATATACGTCCTTTTGAAGAAAAAGTAGCGCAGGTTTGTGCTGGCGCGACATTATTTTTTAGATCGAGTTTTGATGAAACAAGGAAGAGAATATGTTTCGGGTCGCAGATTGTGACCAATTGGGTGGCACGGTGGCTGAGTGGATAGCACTCTCAGCAAGAAGGTCCTGGGTTGGACTCCTGGTCGGACCTGGGTCTTTCTGAGTGGAGTTTGCATGTTCTCCCCGTGTCTGCGTAGGTTTCCTCTGGGTACTCCGGTTTCCCCTACCACTAAAAATATGTCCAATAGTTCTGGCATGCGCCTCCTGTACTGGCCACCCCGCTCCCATATCTGTGTGGAGTGAGAGACAAATGCCCAAAATTAACAATTGTAAACCGCTTTGAGACTCAGATTTGCAGTGAAAAGGCGGTATATAAATAAAGATTACTTATTACTTACTTACCACTGGCCCCACTTTCGTGAGAAATCTACAGGTCCCTGTTAGCACAAACAGCTGAGTTAGCACAACAAGCGGCGGAGCTAACCTGAAATTTCCTCGTCTTCGTCACCGGTTACTGCTTACACAGCGAGACAGCCATCCAAAAGAAAGTCTTGTTCCTCCGCGCTTCCCGGTTCTATCGTTCTATGGTCACGCCATCCACGTGCAAATCCATGTCCATGTATTATCCATATTGGGAGACGCTAGCTCCGTCAACAACAGTGGGTTAGTGTGGGGGACGATAGCTTCGTGGGTGCGGGGAGGGGAGCAGAAAGAGCGAGGCCAGCGAGGCCGCGGCTTCAAAATCCCAAAGTCAGTTAGTGCAGCTTTAAGAGAAGTGAAAAGGAAAGAACAGAGTTACAGACTAAAACAAACTCTTAACTACAGCAAACGACACAGAGCTCATGACATGTCCAGTTTGCAGTCAGGAGAACATGTGTGGGTCAAAGACATGCACACTGTAAAGAATTTCCTTGTAGAAAAACAATAAATAGCTGGCAAATATGGTTCCAGGAATTTACCGTTTTCAAAACATGGCATTACCGTTGCTAATTTTAAAGACTGTTTCACTGAATCACATTATGCCTTTGTGATTTCAGGATTTAACTGTGTGTTCCTGTTAATTCACATACTACAAAACAGCATTATAATGTTCATTTTGTATTGTTACACCATATGACTGTTTCTGTATTCTAAATAGTTTCATTGAACAAAAAACTACACAGCTTAATTTGTTTTACTTTAATGAACACAACTTTTCAATTATTTTTTAACATCTTCAGTTTATACAAGAACATTGTTGAAATATTTACTTCTATAACATGCGTAATGCAAAAGCATCATTTTAACTAATGTGTAAGCGGTACCTTTTACACTCATGGTTGCTCGCTAGCAGAAATTTCCCAGCATTCCAAAAATACAACAAGTTTATGTTAAATTACGGTAATAATACCATAAAATCACAATGTGATTATTAATCACATTGTGATTTTATGGTATTGTAAAGTTTTTTTGTAATCACATTATAATTGTGGTAATAAAACGCCACTGGATGTTTTTCAACCGATATATACTTAAATTTGCATGTTTCAGAATATTTGTTTAATGTTGAAATTTCATTGTAATTTTACAGAAATGTGTTACAGTGCAGCGGAGAGGAACTGTGGTGTCTACGGCAGACACACCCAGGTCCTACATTGTGGAATCTCCAGAGAAACAGATATAATTTGTCCCGCACTCCGGTTGCTCCGCAGCTTCAAGTCACTGTTCCAGACGATCCTTTAGAGAACATTCATGCAGAGACTGACCCTGAAGTACTCCCTGATTCCTTCCAACAGCGTCCGGATAATGAGAGACGTTATCCTGCGCGAATCAGGAAATCACCAGAGTGTGCTTGAACACCAGTAAGACCAAGGAGATGATCATCAAACCACTTTCCCATACGCTGCTGAACATCCAGGGGGAGGACATTGAGCTGGTGGACAGCTTCAAGTACCTGGGTGTTCACATTAACAATAAACTGGACTGGTCCCATAATACAAACGCCCTGCACAAGAAGGGCCAAAGTCGCCTCTTCCTTCTGAGGAGGCTGAGGTCCTTCGGAGTGAGCAGGCCCCTGCTCAGGACTTTTTATGACTCTGTGGTAGCTTCTGCCATTTACTACGCTGCCGTGTGCTGGGCCCCGGGCAGCACAGAGCGGGACAGGAGCAGACTGAACAAGCTGGTCAGGAGGGCCAGCTCCACTGTGGGCTGCCCCCTGGACTCTGTGGAGGAGGTGAGGGACAGGAGGGTGCTAGCCAAAGCCACCTCCATCATGAACAACACCTCCCACCCACTGCACAGGACTGTAGAGGAGCTGAGGAGCTCCTTCAGTGGAAGACTGAGACACCCTCAGTGTAGGAAGGAGCGCTACCGCAGGGCCTTTATCCCCACCGCTGTCAGACTGTACAATAAGTCACTTTAAGTCACTGTGTAAAACTGAAAAACCTGCACTAATATTGACACTATTTCTGATTGCCACTTTAAAACTGCCACTTTTTTATGTACATAATATATCCTGCATTTAACATGTTTGCACATTTCCTCCCTTTTTTGCACAATCTGAGTGTTTCTATCCATGCCAGATATGTAAATTTCTCCTCCTTGTGAGATAAATAAAGAATATCTTATGTTATCTTATCTTACTTAAAAGACTATGTGTC